TCGTGTGGCTGGGGCTGCGCGAGGGTGACAGCCGAGTGCCCCAAGGGACGTGGCGGGGTCCGAGCAGGGGCTGCGTGAGGCCTGCGCCGGGCGGGGGGTGGCGGACTGGCGCTGCCCGGGGAGAGGAGCCGCAGCGGCCTGCCCTTCGCTGCCCGCCGCGCGTCCCGCCTGCTGCTGCTGTCGTCGCCAGATAACATCCGTGCTGCGCGGACTTCCGCGGGGCTGGATTTGAACTTAGTGTTTTTCAGCACGTCGCTAGTTTTGAAGGAGTTTGAGGAGTTGGAACTGTGTTCCGCATAAACACCAAGCGTGATGGAGTAAAAGCTTATCCACGTGTAGAAAAGCATAGGTTGCCTTGTTTTTTTTAATAGGTTTACCTGGGCACAGCGTCGGTTGGATGGCGGTGTTTCAGCAGTTATAAGTCGTTCTTGCTCTTATTCCCAAAAACGAGTAATGCGCCATAGGGAATGAAACTTACTAGTGTTGCTTATGAAGAGTAGTTTTTTCATCCTTTTAGACAATTGTAGACTCGACAGATACATTTTTATGTAATATACTACAATAGCTCATGTGATTTGTTACTATGCAACTTATTAACTATTACAAAATAATTTATATCTTCATATATTACAGGACAAGTTTTGAATAACCAGAGTCGGGCTCCTTGGCGTTTGTCATCTATAACAGATTTCTTCTGGTCAATAGCAGATTTTGTGGTTCTTTTGTAAGTAGAAATTAATTATTTTGATGAATTTTGTTTTAAATTTATCATAGGTAGAAGCTACTCAGTGGTACAAGTAACACAATACACTAAAAATATTAGTTTTACTCCTTAGCATTCTATATCTGCTGTACCCCAAAAATATATGGATGTTTTAATATGACTACGTGGCTTTGGTTATTAAGTGCTGTAATATATTTAATAAAAAAATATGAAAACAGATGGTAACTTGCAGTTCAAGTGAGTTTTATTACATAGTAGATAATGTTTTCAAGCACATATAGATGACATTCACAATTAATTCCCTTTTAATACTGCAAAGAAGGGCATACCTTTTTGTTGAACTGCTAGTTTCTAATAGCTGATCAAATAATTGAGATAAATTTCAGAGAATTTCTAGTGGTGACAATAGTTTCTGCATATGTAAGAATAATTACACAGCAATAATCACAACTCCAAGCTCCTAGATTGGCATTCTCAAGGAACTCAGAGTTCTTTGGATGTCTGTAACAGTCCTTCATTATTTCAGTTACAGGTTTGTATTTGTTGCATGTCTTGCATTTTATTTGGTAGAAGAATACATTTCGTAGTTTTAAATATTTAATATTTGGGTTTACTTGAGGTTTACTAGAGAAAAACAAGAATTACAAAGATTTCTTAAACAACAGTAACTGTGAGAAGATGTACTGTTTATTTCTGAGCACTAGGTTTTTTTTTCATTGTTTCTGATCTTGTCATCCAGAAATTCAGAAACTGTTTATTTCTAGCAATCAATTTACATAACTCCTCCTGTTTTATTTTTCAGTTTCCAGAGCATTCTTCAACCAGATTTGAGAAGGAGAGGCTACACATCTTCCTCCTATACAGGATATGATGATGGAAGAGGGTATTATTTCATATTCACACTACCTTTCTTTCATCTGAGCAGACTATCTTATTATTCAAGTTACAGTCATTGTGATTTGCTTTGAATCAGATCACATCCGAAGACTTAAATGTTATTTTTCTGGGGTGTTTTCTCAGAAACTTGTTGATAACAACATATTTGTTCTAGACAGTTGTAGTAACAGAATATAAGTCTAACTCTCACTAATACAATTTTTCAAAACCGCCTAGTAGGCGATATGTATCTGTAGAAATTCTTTTGTTAAACTTACTTATTAAGCCTTTGGTTTACACTAAATCAGTCATTGCATGTATTAGTTTATCATAGATTATCTATGAATTTTAGGGAAAACACTTTATTATATGGATATCATTTCTATAGTTTCCGAAGCATTAGAAGCAGTGACTTGCAGGTAGCTAGCTAATGGGAAACACTGTAGTTGCTGTGTTTCTTTGTTCTTAGTGGATGGCCTTACTTTTTTTGTAGAGCTGTACAAAAGCCTCAGTTAGTGTTAGTTTCTTGTTGCAAGATAGGAGTAACTGGAATAGTTTTCATAAGAGAATTCTCATGGAAGTGGGGTTGGGTTTTTCTGTCACAGGTTTTCACATGAAACTAAACAACTCACTTTCCAATTACTGTATTAAAAGGCAGTGTTTTTGTATTTCTAGTTTAATAGTTGAACAGGGGTTGAATAGATGGGGGGGGGTATGTATATTTATATATACATTTCCTTTCTTTTTCAAAGACCTCCAGGATATCCTCGTCGTAGGATGGGTCGAATAAATCACTGGGGTGGAGGTCCCAGTCCACCACCAATGGCTGGAGGTGGATGAGGAAGGTAATTTCAAATCTGTTATGTCCTGCTTTGAACTTTAAAAAGGGAGGGGGGGGGAGTATGTGCATCTACAAAAATTCCCCAAAGTTCCTTACTACTTTTTTTAGTGGCATGGAGATGGATGTACAAAGTCTAGTATAGATTCTTGAACACAGACTATAAAAAAATTATTTGGAACTTTTTGTCTTTTTCATTGCTAATTTGAAGTGCAATTCAGATCACTAGTGGCTGCAGCTCTTGCATTTCTAATGGTTGACACACAACAAATATGAGATTGTTTAAAGTGGATAGTTACTGATGAAAAAGAATGATTAGCAAAGATGGTAAAAGACAGTTTTTCTTCTGTTAATGATATAGCTATGCAAGTCTTTTATTATAATATAGCATAAAATCAGAATTGCTTAAAAAGGAGGAGGATCTTTGAAAAGTCCTGTTTTTACCTTGAATTTCTTACTGTTGCCTGATGCTGTAAGGGTTGTTTTATTAATTCAGCTGGTGGGTGTTTCATCTAATGTTGAATTTATATAGCATGGTTTAATGTACGTAAGGACTTAAGTTAAGAATTCCTCTCTTCTTTCTTCTTTCTCATGAATTACTGTCCTCATTATTATCATAAGGAAAGTTAGAAGGAGTTAAAAAAGACACCTGCAGGTGACTAGTAACCAGTAATTCTTGTTTATCCTAAAAAGTAAATGTAGTAAACAAAGTATACCTGTATTTCAGTTTCCTTAAAGAAAAAAAAAAAGCCCCTTTCCATGATTTTTTTTTCCACTTGCATTTTTTTTTCCTCTGACTAGACATGAGGCTAGCAAAGGCTGTGGGGAGGGCTTTTAGGTGATGATGCCAATGTGTAATCTGCTCAGAAAGAGGAGTTTGCAAGCCTTTGACAGGTCTCATTTAGCTAAATTAAAAATACAAATTATTTTTAAAAGATTACTTGCACAGTTTTATCTTGTAAGGAAAAAGCATTCTTGTTGTTTTAGGTAAATGCCTGCTGCAAGAGGCAGGCAAATGAGCATACACATTTGCAAGAGGAAGGGGAAGAAGAGGTCAGTGGCGGACCAAACGAGTTTGAATATTGTGAATGTGTATGTCTAACTGGAAACTGTTCTGTGACACAAGCAGATTAATGAAGTTGTACTGGGAACTCCCTCTTCAAGGATCCAGTGTAACTGAATTGCAGTTTTATTAAATACATGTGTACTGTCTGTCTAAAGTCTTTGTATAATTTCTGAACATTTTACTGTAGTTACAAAATAAGTAAATTATATTTGGCTTGTCACAATGCTCACTTTCTCTTCATTTTTTATAAAAGCAAAAAAAATCTGTTTGAAGTAGAATAAGTCCTTATATGCTCAAATGAGTAAACATACATTGATGTGTTATTTTTCTGTCTGATACAGAAGGTCAGTCAAGGGTCAAACTTAAAAAAGCCATGCTTCCATATAGATTTATTTATTTTGACAGTACTAACATTCTGTATCTTGCTATACTTTATGATATTAATGATACTCTATTATAAACACACTTTCTTAGTGTGTGACCTGCAGATTACTTTGTTTTACAATCTTCCCTTTTGCAAAGCCACTTCACTATGCCCCATAATTAGTTTTATATAATATGCCTGTTTTGTCAGATCTTGAAATCAATTCCTTCTCCATTCTAAACTTACTAAAATGTATATGCCTATTTACTGTGCAACACCTGATAGGACTTTCTCCTCTCCAATAAAATTAGGCTATGTTTTTATTAAAGAAAGAAATGCCAATTGTACTGAGTGGTAACACTTAAGAGTAACAGAAAAGCTGTTTTCTTTCAAACAGTAACTACTTTGTAACTAACTCTTGATTTTATGAAGTTTTTATTGTTTTTCTGGGGGTTTGTTTGGTGGCTTTTGGTGGCCTTTTTTTCTTCCCCCCCCCCCCCTTC